TTAATTTGCGAAGAATTCACCTCAGTCGCCTCGCATTTTAGATGTAATAATTGCACAAAATCTTCCATCGCCTGCCCGCGAGGTTAACAAGTGAAACACCCCTCCCACCCCCTCCCCCGCGTCCGGTCCGCTTGGCCCCGTCGCCTGGTCGCTTCGCGCCGCAGCAGGGCGTGTAGCAGGGGCGGGTCCAGGGAGTTCGGACCGCCCCTTGCCGGCGCAAAAACGCATCTGAGGGGCTGTAATTTTTAAACAAATTTTAGTCGCCTCGCCAACTAAGTGCGCGTTTACCAGTTAAGCACCCCCGCTGGTACAGAATCCTGTACTACGCCCCTGCCGGATGCAAATTCGCAAACATCCCCTTGAAAAACGAACCCCCCCCGCCCAATAAGAAATGCGGCTACGAGGCCTGATTACCTTGACCTTGAGAGTACTTTTAAATTTAACTCACGTTGTGCGGCGGACGCTGAAAATATTATTTGCGGAGTATTTTTGACGCATTCAATCATTTGACTTGGAGTAAAATTACTCACGTCGTGCGCCGGGCTTTAGGGCGTTTAAAATGGCTCCAGGTGGACATAAAAGCCTCGCAGGAAATGTGCATGCGTGAGAGATCTCGATAAAAAGTTATTCACATTTGGTCGCAGCGATATCCCGCTACCACCTATTTTCCCTATGCAATGTCATATAGAAATTGGCGCTCGCGCTCGGCTTGCCGGCAGTGCGAGCCAAGATAAATATATGTTCTTGGGCCGACCTTTGGCGGTTCGATCTGCTGGCGCAGGGCATGCTTGCGATAGATGTGCCATGTAAAAATCCTGAGTATGCAGCTTTTCACGTTTGGCCGCACATCCCCACATTTTTTCCCTGGTGCTATGTACACACAGAATACCCGGATAGTGGTCCATTTATGCAACTTTATCTGAGAAAACTCCCAACAGATGGCGCTAGAGCAATAAACAGCCGACGGCCAAAAGCTAGATGGTTCCCATTATGTGCTTCCCATGGTTGTAACCCGTTTTACTTAACAAAATGAAGCCGACGTGTGAGCTTCTAAAGCCAGAAACAGACTTTGCATCTACTGCGTTATCAGCGGTCGTGTTACATGCATACATGTTCTACATCTTCCAGTGCTAGAAGTTTTGAACGTTGAACATTATGTAACTGTGAATTGATCTCAACGTCGTCGTTCGGCGGTAAGTCACTAAATTGTAGCCAACTTCCCGCTTCTCGCTTAACACACGTTGGCGAGCAGGTGTCCTACGACGTGTAACAGCGGCAATGAGCCCTGATCGTTTATTGAAATTCTGTACTTCAAACTTGGTAATGGTAAATTACCAATGTTTACAATATTTCGGCTTCAAGATAGAGAACATTACATGGCGCCAATAAAACCAATGTCATTTACATCAATATAAAGTAGTAATATTACATCAATGACTAATAGGTTAGGGTTATATGGTAGGGTGTAGGGTGTGAAGGGTTGATCCTATACAGCGTCGTTCTCTGACGTCCGTTCTGGTAGAATGAAGACCCCGTCGATCCAGCGGTCCTTATATACGCTGGCAGGCCGTGGCCGTATGCCTGCCTCTGCCGGAATGCTGGGTCGAAGCCTGAGTTGAATCCTGTAGAATCAATGCCAGTAGACATGGCCCTTGCGACTGCGTTATGTGACAGGTATAATACAGCCTTACATCGCTAGCCCTCCTCCCTTCGGAAAGCAAGAGTCCCTGCGAGAGTGATAATGCCAACCGCAGCCCAGATGCTCGAAGCACTAGGTGGCTCCCATAGCATTGAGTATGTGCGCTGCCGCACCATTGCTCATACGAGCGAGCACTCGTTCGCCCTAGGCATAACATGGCCAGGATACTTTGCTCTTCCCTGTCCAAGTTATCATCACTCGGGACGTATTTACATTCGACACTGCTCTTCCCGCCCCCCCCCGCAACTGGAGTCAAAAGTGAGAACGCAACTTAGGCGGCACTTAGAAAAATTTCGAGCGGCGTGGTGCGCCAGTCGAGGTAACATGGCTCGACGGCAGTCTCAAAGCAAACTGTGAAGTCCGATCAAATGGAAATATCCCAAACCTTATGATCCCCCGAGACGTATCGACTGTAAATACGCCTTTCGTACCCAATGCTTTGCCCGCGTGTGGAGAAGCGCCGCCCAGTGTCAAGTCGACGAGTATCAACCGCAAACGGCGGGATACCCGAACTAGCCCCCGGAAAAAAGACCCATCAAACCCCCGGGCGGAAGTCCAACCGAACTCCGCAGGGGAGTTCCAAACGCAACTCCAGCAGGGGGATTCCAACAACAACTCCGCAGGGCCGGAGTTCCAAACAACTCTCGCAGGGGCAGTCTCAAACGCACTGCCACAGGGGGAGTCTCAATCAAACTCTGGAGGGAGTTCAAGAACAATCCGCAGGGAGTCTCCCCCAATCCGCAATGGAGTCTCCACAAAACTCCGTGGCGGGGGAGTTACCAAAACTCCCGGGGAGACCACAAACTCCGCGGGAGTTACACAAATCCGCGGGGCGGAGTTACACAAAACTCCGCCGGGGAGTTACCACAAACTCCGCGGGGGAGTTACCACAAACTCCGCGGGGGGGAGATTACCACAAACTCCGCCGCGGGCGGGCGAGGCTTACCACAAAACTCCGCGGCGGGGGCGAGTTTACCCACAAAAACTCCGCCCGGCGGCGGCGGAGTTACACAAAAAAAACCCTGCGGGCTGGGCGGAAGTTACACAAACTTCGCGCGCGGGGGCGAGTTACCACAAAACTCCGCGCGGGGGGCAGTTACACAAACTCCGCGGCAGGGAGTTGAATGACACAGAATACGCGAAAATAAACGCTCAAAACATGCCAAAACCAACGAAATACACGACTCATAATACTACTGTAACATGCCTTACTGCGCCACCTACTGAACAACTATCGTACCTATCTCCCTATCTACCGTTAGTACAGTTGAAAGCTAATTCGCCACCACACGCGACTGACTGCAAAACAACAACCCTCAAACACGACGGGGTGTTGAGTAAAGTGAATACACGAGTCTGAGCGACAAACACGCGGGCTTGACACTCAGCTGACAGACCTACTGTACGTTCACAGCAGTCTCCCTAACGACATGCGCGATGCAAGTCGAAAGAACTATGCAGTCTACTATTGTACGCTACGTGCGCCATACAATACGTCTCCTAGCTTATCAACGAACATGATACGATACCCATACTGGAGAAGGTACTTAGCTTGATGTACAGCTTGTTGTCCAGGGCCTCCACTCTACGTACGCGACGAACCAGTTCACATCCCTACTATCCTGTCGACTGCGCCAAAATGTAAGGGTTGGATCCTTACACGGTCGGTTCTCCTGGCCGTCTGGTAGAATGAAGCACCCCGACTCGATCCCAGGCGGTCCTTATATATTGGTTCTGTTCTCTATCCTTGGGCCCATATTTCTGCCAAAAATCTGGAAAATCAGATATTATTACTACTAGTACTAATTCAATTGTGTGGAGCCCTCTGTCTGTGTTACTGTGGCTCATAGGGGCTATGTCCCCCAGGATACTGCTGGAGGGTACCCTGGGTACGGCCCGGTATACCGGAACGTACCCTGGTAGTGGTAACTATTTGATATGGTTAAGGTTGGGGTTAGGGTTAGGGTTTGGGAGTAGGCGTAGGCGACTCCCTAGACTCATTAGTGGAGTACGCGAGGTACGGTCTGGCATATTAGATAGTACCACTACCAGGGTACGTTCCGGCAGTACCCTGGGGGACATAGACCCTCTCAGCGTTACTGTGTAGTGTGTTGGTAATCTTCTCACAAACTTTTTTATAACTTTATACGTAGATTTCATTGTACTAACGAAATGAGGATTTAACGTTGATCAACTTGCCCAACACATCTTTGATGCCAGCAATACTGCATGGTATTGCAGTAGAAATTTGTCTAGGCCCCTACTTTACAGAGACAGAGAGAGAAAAGTGAAAAGAGAGAGAGAATTGTGTTAAATTTGTGTATAGCTAGCAGTTGGGGTGATATTAGATACACCTGATGTACATTGTACATGTACACCGGCGATTCTTGTTGGGTACATTATTTTATCTAGGGTGATATGTGATTCAAGGCTTTATGAAAGGTTCAAGCAGTGGCACAGTATAGTTGAACTCTTATACTTCAAGTTCAAACCTCACAATGCAATTAAATCCAGCCAACGAAACCAGTAAATAAATTGCGTCTGATTGACTGTTGTACATTTATGGTTTACATATGGTTTATAATGTGTTTTTTAATAATGAGCATGTCTAAAGCTTATTGTTCATACCCTAAGTAATTGCAACTTGGGTATATTTAGTGGTACATATATATAGGGGGTTATGTATAGGTAACTGCCTGGCAGTTTGTTAGCATGCTGTGTTTCTGTTTAAAGGTTGCTTCAGGTAGACAAGATGGATCGTAGAATTATTCAGATTCTGCAGAGTAATGGGCTACCGATGAAGCCAGTAGAGATAGGAAAGCTTTGTGGTGTTGCGAACAAATCCGATCTTAATCATCTTCTCTATGGCATGAAGGCTCGAGGACTGCTGAACAAAGAACAGGTATGGGCAGATTAAGAAGAATTCTTTTTATTTCAGTATACCATAAATGCCGTAATCTGTCTATCTGATCTACTTGTCTCTTTCCGGCTTCGATATGTCCCCTGGACTTTGAAGACTATTAATTTAGAAGGTTACAAAGTTCTAGATGCAGGACAAATTGACAATATGCATGTCACACAAATATCACCCGTGTGTATTAATAACCGGCTGTATATGATTTTCTTGTGTGTGGTGGAGAATTCTTGTTATTTCAGTATATCATAAATGCATGACAATATATGCATGTCACACGAATCTCACCCGTGTGTATCAATAACCATATATACAGGATGCGAAATTAACGGGAGTCCGGAGTCAAATACTCCCTGATTTACTGTCGGACCCCCTGATTTGACATATGCAGGAGTCCTGTGACTCCCTGAAAATTCTACCATACTAACTAGTTCGTTCCAGAGCACGGCCTTGCGGAATTACCGTATTTTTCAGCTAATGTCCAAAGAAAATTTGGCAGACGTGCAACCGCATGAATCTTAAAAATAAGCACATGCGTTTATATTGTTAATATCTTTAATTTTGAACCTCAGACTGCGGACTCCCTCATTTTGCTGCGGACTCCCTCTTTTTGAGGGTAGGGAGTCCGTTGTACTCCCGTGTTCAAAAGTTAATTTCTACACCTGATATATGTTTTGCTTGTGTGTGGTTTTGTCAGGATGTACCACCACTGTGGACTGTTGCTGTCGGGGAATCGGCTGGTACTGGTCCTCCTGTGAAGACATCAAAACAGCAGTTGTCTGCAAGTACGTTAGAAAAAATCATTACCCTTCAAATGAAATAGCCAGTTAGTATTTTTACATGTTGGTCCTTAAAATACATGAGTGATGTAAATGAATGTATTCACCATTCAGGGAGACCATGTTGAACTTGTTAAAAGTATGTCTTTGACTGAACATAATAATTCATAAATAAATAATAAACGTTCATCTGCGAATGTAAGTCACTCGATGGTACACCTGCTGATGAAGATTAACTAATTAAAAATGTTATATTAAATTCATATCATATTATATTAAAAATGTAATGAAATTCAGAGTTACACCTCTATCTTACTGCCTACTGTTGCATTTAGGGAACCATCATGACTTAAACGGTGCACTGCCAAATAAACACCTACAGACTAGAAGCTTTACGGAGTATAGAACTCCACCGAAACCATACAGTGACTCTGATGACTCTGGCAGTGAAGGCAACAATGTAAGCCACACCAGTGCACCCCGAACCGAGCAACCAGACTACGAAACTGCAAGTACTACGCATCAAGTATCCGAGCTGGAAACCAAGGTCCTTAAACATCTCTCTTCCTGCAAAGGCAATAGCAATCATACACTACTCATCGCAAAAGCGATTGGTTTGCGAACGAAGAGTGACGTTAACCGCGCACTATACGCTCTCGCGAAAAAAGGCCTGATCTTACAATGCTGCGACAATTCGAAAATAACCTGGGCTCTTGCTGAAGCAGGGATAAAGCTTACTGCTGCAACGTCTACCCAATGCGAAGGTGGCACGTTGGAAGCACAAGTACAACTTAGACCAGCGTGCGAAAGCACACATCAAAGCCTGCAGCCGTCATTCGATGCACGTTCGCAGCCACCTTACATTCCTGGTCGACAACCTGGGTCTTATCCCCGCCCCGACACCGAAGCCGCATTTACACCCACTAATCAGGGAGCGTGGAGCGACGGCACGACGTACAGTCCAGCTGCCGCACCGGCATCGACTGGCAATACGTTCACAGCAGCGCAAGCCGCAGCCAGTTGGAACTTGTGTCATGTGGCACAGGCTGAGCCACCACCACTGCCCTCTCTAATGCTCCAGGTACTGAGCTTCTTATCATAGCTGTATTGTTTTAATCGAATCTCCAAATCGACCCATTTTCAAAAATTCAAAAATTGGCAGTGGGCATCAATAATCTCTCAATTTTATAAGACTAATGCATACAAATTTTAAACTAAGGCGTATTCTTGGTGTATAATACCGAGAGAATATAAACTCTAGAGCGTATAACGATATACATACTGATAACCATGTAACCGAACTCTCGTGCATTCACCTGTAGGTTGTCGCACTTGCAGGAAATAACCTGGTCTCTCGCTGAAGCAGGGATAAAGCTTACCGCTGCAACGTCTACCCAATGCGAGAGTGGCACATTGGAAGCGCAAGTACAACCTAGACCAGCGTGCGAAAGCACACTATGTTGTCGCACTTGCAGGAAACCGTGCTACGGTTATATATACTCCTCTATGTAATAATATATAATGTCTCTTTTTCAAATATAGAGTTTATTTTTTTCTGATCTTAGACGGATGACCGATACAACATATTGCTCGGAAACATTCCGTCGTCTCAGCGTAGCGTGGCACAAAACATGCCGTCAATTTGGTCCAGTACTGGATTAGAAGCCTGCATGTCCAGTGAACCTGTCACTGGTGTTTCGATGTGCAGCCCGAGTGATCACAACTCTGGTAGCCACATATCGGTAGGTGTACCATGCAGAGCTTTGTGCTGGATAATGTGCAGATGCACATCTTGGGTGGAGCAACATACAGGGAGCTATTGACATGCTCTCAGGCAATCATCGATACGATCACTAGTTTAAAATAACATGATGTCCTACATCACTCCAACGAGAAAACATCTTGGAACATTGCCCTTTGCTCTAATTTGAAGAAATTATCAGTATAATCAGTGCATCCCCTTGGTCGCCACCACACTGGTTGTCGTAGCGTCACCGTGCTTGCATGTTTCGTTGCAGGCGACGGTTGCCGCGGCGACGCTGTCACTGCCGCGTGTCAACTCCTTGGACGTGCTCACTAGCGCCACCTTCGCCGCGCTAAACAAGAACCCGATTAGCGCACTGACGGAGTACGGGCAGGCCCGCCGCGTCGCTGTCGCCCTGGATGTCGTCCGGTCGTGGGGTCAGCCTCACTGTCCAAGGTCGCGACCTTTTACGAATAGGCTAAGTGAAGAATTAAAGGGATCGTTTACTCTAGGTTCTAGGGTTATTTTCAGTTAAGTTAGGTTAAAATTACGCTACATAAAAAGTTTCATGGTTCAATCACCATTAGAAATATTATTAAAAAATGTTTTAAAACTAACGACTACAGTTTGATTACAACGACGGTGGCGCCACTCAAAGCGCATGATCTGAGAAGTTGCGCAAAACCACTTTTCAGCCTAGGGCTACAGACCGAGGGTGTTTCTTATTTATTAATTTAAAACAAAAAGGATTGTAATATATCTTATAAACGACATATAGTTTCAGTTATATTATGGATAAATTTGTCCTAAAATGAACATCGTTCGGTTAAATAGCATTTAGGTATGAATATAATTTCACCTTTGTGATTAGCCCTTGGTCTGTAACGTGCAAAATAAATTGGCAAATACGCAACTTTTTCAGGGTGGCAGCACGGTCGCGTGTGCCATAGCGCCGTTCAAATTTCGTAGAGTTGATGTGTAATTAATTATAACAATTAAATTAGGTATCTGGTACCAAATACGTGTGAGTATAGACGATTTGTTATACAGTAAGTACAGTTGTATGCAGTAAAATCCTAGAGTCTTTTTAGCCGTTAACTTGTTGGTGGTGTGCCGTTATTGTTGATTCAACCCAGGATACCCATCGTCAGAGCAGCATGGATTTCCAACCATGAACATATATATTGCCATACTCAATGTGAAACCTTGCAATTTGCAATTGTGTTTTAAATGCCAAGGCAGGAGAGTCTGGTTTAATTAGGTAAATGTCTTAGTAGAATGTGTTTATGTTAAAAAGTATCGACCATCGATAACCATGATCTTTAAAAGAAATTGATTGCACATTTGCTATTAGAACGTTTTCATAAAGTATGCTTGTTTAAAATTTTTATAGCTTTGAGGTGGCAGCTAAAGTAGATGGAAGGCAATTTCCAAGTGTTACTGCCAAGACGAAGAAAGATGGCAGGCGAATGGCTGCTGATTTGGCTATGCGTGCGCTTATGGCTGAGGGCCTCTACCAACCGAAAGGACCAGTGGATGCCAGCATCGTGAGTGGTGCACTTTCTGCTGTATTTTCCACAATTATTACTTATTTTTCTGTTTGTTTTTACGAATCCGTTGTTGTAACTATGGCTGCGCAATGGCTTTGTCATGTGTGGTGTGTTAGTATAAAGAGTTGTGATAAATTAATAAATTGTACTATGATTGCTGACGAAGACAAAAATTAACAGTAGAAAACTAACAGGAAATCTGTTGGCAAGCCTATGAACCATGTAGTGGTGCCACTGCACAATGCAACATTGAAATTAAATAATCTCATAGAACTTCTTTTACGAACACAACATGCTTATTATTTTTATAGATACAGCAACTGGAACAGGGCACATGGGCTGATCGAGTTGCAGCTCAATGTCACTCTACATTCACCCACCTAACAGCTGAAATTCAGGAGTCACTAGCAGGAAGAAAGGTGTTGGCGGCAATCGTTATGAAAAGGGAGTTGACTGATCAAGGAACAGTCGTTGCTATGGGCACTGGTGGGTGTATCTTTTGAGTGTGACTTAAATAAAATTTTATATAGGCCTCCTCTCTTTATTTCGCTATTGCATAATATCAGGGATATTATATATGTCACATGCCCATGTTTGGCACGAAAATCTCATTCATCATAAAGAAATGGTATAAAGATATAACTTTTCAAACTGTAGCAAGTAGGAGAGAAGTACAAGTAAATCAAACCTCAATAACCAGAAATTATAGTTCTCCGGTATAGGTAAGTGCTTTTTGCATGTGCATTGTGTGGAGACTGTGGCAGACATGTTTTTTTTGTTCATTGCCAGGTAATCGTTGCATCACGGGAGAAAGAATGAGCCTGGAGGGGCAGGTTGTCAATGACTCTCATGCAGAAGTTATTGCAAGAAGAAGCCTCGTAAGGTAACCTTGTAGTGTTGTAACCTCACTTGCACTCACTAGTTTATTTCAGGTGATTTCAATGCCATTTTCTTGAATTTGGCTAATTGTTGCCATTAAATCCCAGTGATTGTAAAATTCAAGTTGTATTAGTTTTGTTCATTTGAGTTTCATTGGCTTAATCTGTCTTACGTGATATCATGTTAGGCTAACATCTCGACAGTGGTTTTTTGCTTAGAAGTTGTATTTTTACGTGCAATTTGCATTTTGGAATCCAGTTTGTTACTATAATTAAATGGTATTTATTGTCGAAACGGTAGGGTGCAATCTCATCAACTGTATATTGTGGATTTTCTTATGTTAATTGAGTCATTACATTCTGTGAAGCTCATGAAATGCATTCATTGCAGAATAACATTGATTAAATGTATAAAGATTGCTTTGCTGTAGTATTTGCAGCCTATATATGCTGTCTATTTATATCTGCTATAAATATATACCATATATGCTAATGCTTGATTGCTGGTCTAGGTTTCTCTACAAGCAACTAGACTTGTATGCTAGGGACCCAGCACATTCCATTCTACAACCAAGCATTGCAGGTGACCTTCTAAAGGTGAAGGATGGACTCTGCTTTCACCTGTACATCTCCACTGCACCATGTGGAGATGGAGCCATATTCTCTATCTCTGACAAGTATGCACATGCCCTGTTTGCTCAGGGCACAATGTAAATCGTCTCTTTGGCATAATGCCTGCGTTATTATGGTTTAGCTCATGTGCTAAGAACTAACTGGTGAATGTTTATGAAATCTAAATTTGTATACTGTCCATAGCCTCTGTAGCACGTGTGTTTATTTCTTAGGGAGGACAATTACATGAATGATGAAAACACACAGGAACACAGGCCGAAATTTAGCTCAAAAGCTGGTCAGCTCAGAACCAAGATGGAGAATGGTAAGTGAGCGAACAGTGCAAAATTTACTTGTCTTGTGTTATAGTTATACAAACTAATAGTAGTATACATAAAATGAGAATATATCAGGGTGTAGCTATTTCATGAGGGTGACCATACCAGTATAATGCCATTATATATTTATATAAAATACTTCTGTTATATTGCAATGTATAATTTCATTCTTGAAAGGCATTATTTGGAATATCATGTTACAAATTCAAAGTTTACAGTCACATGCTTTATCAAAGATGTATTTAGCAAAATTATCTCAATACTTCTCACCCTGGCTGTTGTAGGGGAAGGAACGATACCAATAGAGGCAAACTTCACACATCAGACTTGGGACGGCATCGTGCGAGGGGAACGACTGCGTACTATGTCGTGCAGTGACAAAATAGCACGGTGGAATGTTTTGGGCCTGCAAGGAGCATTGCTGTCAAACTTCCTGGAACCCATCTACTTGCATTCCATCACACTTGGTAGGCATTCTATTGACTCGTAGACCTTGTATGCGCATATTTTTGGAAAGTGTCTATGTATGAGCGAATCTGTGTAGTGAGGCCATATTTCGTATTTACCGTTAATAAAATCAGTAGTGAATAATCACAAATTGTGTTTATTATCTGTGATGATTTACTCCTGATAACATGTCGTACTCCCACTCCATCCTTTGGAGTATCTCAGGTGTAGTAAATAGCATTGCAGGCATTAGTAATGCTAAGTCAAAGTGTGGTGTGCCTACTACCCTTCCGCAGGTTATCTGTACAATCACGGTCAGTTGGCTAGAGCGGTCTGTTGCCGGATTTCCCAACCCCAAGTCGAGCTTCAGCCTCCGTACAAGGTCAACCATCCCTGGCTGGGTCGCATCTCAAAAGCGGACGCTCTGAGAGAGACTGAGAAGACGAAGCAAACTAGCCTGAACTGGTGCAGTGACGATGACCGAGTGGAGGTCACAGATGGCAGCACGGGTCAATGCACACTCTCCAGGTATTTTGCGAAGAATATTCTTTCGGACTCGCGGCCCGATATTGGCTAATGCCGTAATCGTCATAAGATTTGTCATCGCTCGTAGTGTACGTAATTAATTTGTTTACGAAGTTATACGCAGCTAAATGATAATAATGTGAAATCGATCTTGAATTACCAGTCTTCAAAAACTCAAATCAAATGTTCACGCTGATGGTTCATCTATATATGATGTGTTTTATGGATATCTGGAAATCTGCTTGATAGGCAGCCAAAATGCATACATTTTCTGCCTCATTATAAAGGGATTGCATGCCTGCCACCAAATAAAGGGATCCTCAATCTTAACCTAGCTAATGCAGGAAGTGCAGAATTTCATCTTAGTTTCTGAAGCTCATTGTCACTGTTTCACAGGGCTTGAAACTAACCTAAAATGTTCACTAGCCAGCAGGGCTAGTGACCTGTAAAATCTACTAGCCCTTAAAAATATCTCCCAGTGTTAGACCCCCCTGGTACAAATCCTGTACACGCCCCTGCCGAGCAAATTGCCAACATTGAAAAACGAACCCCCCCCCAATAGAAAGCTGGCTACGGGCCTGATTACCATTACCTTGAGTAATTTTTAAATTTTACTCACGTGTGCGGCGGACGCTGAAAATATTTTGCGTGAGTATTTTGACGCATTCATCATTTTACTTGAGTAAAATTACTCACGTGTGCGCCGGGCTTTAGGCGTTTAAAATGGTCAGGGACATAGCCTCGAGAAATGTGCATGGTAAAATTCGATAAAAAGTTATTACTTTGGTCGCAGCATATCCCGCTACAATTTTTCCCTATGCCAATGTTCATAGAAATGGCGCTCGCGTCGCTTGCCGCAGTTGCGAGCCAAGATAAATATATGTTTGGCCGACCTTTGGCGTTCATTGGTGGGCAGGGGCATGCTTGCGAGAGATGTGCATGGTAAAATCTGATATCAGGTTTTCACTTTGGCCGCAGCATCCCGCCACATTTTTTCCCTGTGCTAATGTACACAAATGAACCGGTAGTGGTCATGTATCAACTTATCTGAGACAACTCCCCAACAGATGGCGCTAGAGCATAAACCAGCGACGGCCAAAAGCTAGATGGGTTCCCATTATGTGCTTCCCATGGTTGTACACGTTTTATTAACAAAATGAAGCGACGTGTGAGCTATCTAAAGCAGAAACAGACATCTACTGCGTTATCAGCGTGTGTGTTACATCATACATGTTCTACATCTTCAGCTGTAAGAAGTTTTGAACTTTGAACATTATGTAACTGTAATTGATCTCAGCGTCGTCGTTCGGTAAGTCACTAAATTGTAGCCACAACTCCCCTTCTCGCTTAACACTACGTTGGCGAGAGGTGTCCTACGACGTGTAACAGTCGGAGAGCCTGATCGGTTTATTGAAATTGGTACTTCAACTTGGTAATGTAAATTACCATGTTTACATATTTCGGTTCAAGGATAGAGAACATTACATGGGTCCCAATAAAACCAATGTCATTTACATCAATATAAATATAATATTACATCAATATAATAGGTTAGGGTTATGGTTAGGGTTAGGGTGTAAGGGTTGGATCCTTACACGGTCGGTTCTCCTGGCCGTCTGGTAGAATGAAGCACCCCGAGTCGATCCCAGGCGGTCCTTATATACGCTGGCAGCCGTGGCCTTGCCTGGCTTGCCGGGAATCCTAGGTTGTAGGCTGAGTGTGAATCCTGTAGAATCCCGTAGAATATGGCTTCGACTCGTACGTGACGGTATACACCTTACACTCTCCCCTCCTTCGAAGCAGTGTCCCGGAGGAGAGTCTGTAATGCCAACCGTATCACACTTCTCATAGCATGTGGTTATGTGCTGCTGCTACCCTTGCTCATAGCGCAGCACAATCGTTCGCGCATAACTGGCAGGATAATTGGTTCTTCCCCTGCCGAGTTATGCATTCACTTGGACGTATTTACATTTGACCCGTGCGGCCCGTTGCTTGGCCTTTTTCCGCTTGTACCGCGGGTTCGAAACTCTCTCCTCCCCCCCCCCAACTGGAGGTCAAAATAAGAACACAACTTACGGCCTAGAAAAATTTCAGCCGGCGTGTGCCTAGTCGTATCATGCTTCGCGGAGTTCAAAGCAAACTGTAAGTCCGACAAATGAAAATCCCAAACCTTATGATCCCCCGAGACGTACGACTGTAATATACCCTTTCTACCCAATGCCTTGCCGGGTTGGAGAAGCGCCGCCAGTGTCAATGACAGTACCCAAACGGGGGATACCCGAACTAGCCCCACGGGAAAAGACCCATCAAACTCCCTGGGGGAAGTCCCAAC